TGATTTCGTAACTTTTATTTTATTTTTATAAAACAAGGAGTTACTGTTCCATCGATCATGAACTTTGGTCCCCATCATTTTGGCCGTTATTGTATGCGTTTACATGGCAACGGAAACGGTCTTCTGACTAATCGAGTCGGACTCGAACATCCTTAGATAAGTGAGGCTGGAAGGAAATTACACATACCATGTTTAGTATTGACTATGGGATATACTAAGCGTAAAAACTGCAATGATACGCAAGAATGACTCGAAAGACGTAAATATAATCTACCGTTATAAAATTATGGGGGAAGGTGACATTGTACGATCTACTGTTGTTGACGAAGATAATTGGAACATACATATATGCAGTCCAATTACATTGTGTTAGGTGCCGTTCAAATATTTTCTTCGTGCTATCACGAGATCTACCGTGCAATAAACATCCGTCATTCAGAATTGTTTTGTTTCCAATCATTTTACGACGTACCACTGTATCTGGACATGATTTCCCTCCCCCAATAAGGTCGAATAATCGACGTGTATTAATGTTATTTCTCATTCTGTTTTTCAGACGAGTATAAAACAAAATGAACGCAAACATTGTCTATACTAGGAGGGGACATTTTGTTTCTTTTTTTCTTAATTAACCAGCCGGTCGGTTACCTTTCGGAACAGTCGTTCAGACGGTTTCAACGAGCGGTAAATAAAAGGTCATTCAAGGCCGCGGAAGGATCGTCAATTAGGCCTTTGAGGAGTTGGTATCCATCGAGAGAAATGTCTCGTCGTTCGTATCAACGAACCCTATTAATTGAATGCTGGCTCTTCAGCGTCGTAATATTCGAACAATTGAAATACAATTATTTTACCTGTCCTCGTCGCGGCAGGCCTGGTCTGCTTTGTCCATTCGTCCGTGATTGTTCCACAGGGACAATGTTCTCTCTTTGTGCCCGTACCTCGGACAATAAACGAAAACGTGACGACTCTGTGTGTACTCTTCATTGTTTCATACCTCGGAAGCAGCCGGGTCATTCCCGTTTTTATCGATGAAAGGATGCCCGTGGAGAAGAGGAAAAAAGGAGGCCGCCCGAGGACACGAGCAGCTTGATGGAATACCAGAGTGGGAGGAACTCACACAGTACGATTCCTACTCGCGATTTCTAACCTCACATCTGCTTTTCCCGCGTAATTTCGCGCCCCTGACTTGTTCGAAATGCAACCTGAGATATGTTTCCCAGGGGGTTTTCTTATACAGGGGCAGTGACATGTTACCCACGAGGATCGATCTTCTGAAGAATCGAATCAGAATCGAACATTCGATCACGAGTTCACATCTCGAATCGTTCGTCCAGAACCACCAAGAGGGCGCTGGCCTCGAACCCGCGAAACCGAACTTTCAAGCGTAATTAGTAGACTGCGAATTTTATGCATGTACAGCCAATAGGGCATTCTGTAATACAATAGAAAAAGAACTTTCGTCAGATGTAAAATGTTTTCTAGTTTATTGTGAACCCAATAAGATATTTAAGAAAAGAAAGAAATTCCTATCTTTGCTGTTGTCTTCAGAAATTATTTAAAAAACTGTCATTCTGCATAAAAATCCGCAGTCTAATAATTAGATAGGAACGACGCGTGCTGACTGAATATTCCAAGAATGACAACGCGACTATCCGCCGTGCGACACGGTGTCAGAGGAACGACAAGGCCGTATCGCGTCCGTGCCCGTAGCTCGCTGGAATTCGCGGGAATTTCGCGCAACGAACGTGTCAAGCCCCGTAATTCGACTCCGTTCGCGTGTAACGATCCTCCGTGCGAACGAGTGCACCGGATAATACAGCGCAGGAATTTCGTAAAACCTGTTGTGGGTTCTCGAGTGGAGACCCCGTTCGGGGCATTTACGCTGGGGCCCAGAAAGGAGCACCTGGACACCTGCTGGGTCGTAGAAATCTTTGATATATACATATATGTATACTAAAAAATATCAGAAATGAGAAAAAAGAAGTACCACTGTGCTATCATAGTAGTACATACTATTGAACCAATACTAAATTTCAATGCAGATCCACCTCATGAAAATCTTCAAACAGCGATACAGTAAATCCTCGATGAGTGTTCGAAGACTTCTCAGCATTGATAAGGAGGAATCCCCAGGTGTAACGGTGACTTTTTAATCAGGTTTATCACAGTGATATAGAGCGTGGAATTCTGAAGCCAATGATATTTGTTTCAGTCGTGTATGGCCATTAGTTTATGAAATATTTCATGTTCAGTGCCGAGGAACCTTCGGACGCTAGTTGAATGATTCGTGCCGTTTCACGTATTGTATTATGACAAATAACGGGTGACAAGAATCACTCGAGCCCCGGTATACTTATGTATAGGAAAGAGCATAAGCAATGACCAGTAAGATGGCTGCGTTGCGTTCATTCAACGGTCCACTCGACTAAAGCCATACGGGCGGGGAAATATATCACTTTTTATAGTAACGTGCTTCCTGTCATGGGTATCCCACATTACAGGCCCGTAGAAAACTTTCATTACTCAAATTAGATAAGATGTAATGTAAATTTTGTACAATTCATAGACATATATACACAGTGAGTGCAAGTATTTTTTGTACAGTTCAAGGTTTTGTAATGAATATATTCAACGGAACTAAAAATGCATAATGGTAGGTAATCGACGGCGTTACAACACTACTGCGTTGCTAATAGCAGTAATAACCCCTATGAGTGGTTAAACCGACCTTTATTAACGAATAGAAAGAACATTGCTGGCTGAATAAATAGAAAAATGAAAATCATTATAAGACACAGCCACGTACAGATTAGTTATAATGGTGATAATGGACCGCCTGATATTCATCAAAGGATATGACATTGAAACTGCGATGGCCGTGTTTACGAATTTTAAGTTCGTTCCGTTCGATCTAATTTTAGGGAGACACCATATTACTTGTCCAACCTGTTTGTATGGGGAAGCGAAGGGAAATACCTGTTGATCGATCATCTCAAATTTGGCGGAAAGAATAGGTACACAAATTTAAGGGAAAATCACATCTTCCACGTACATATCTATAGTGAATAAAAGAAATATCTGCGTGTTCAAAATTTTTCAAAATAATTGTATAAGTTCCTATGTTACGAATATGTCCATAACAACTTTCCCGCAAACCGCCGTAATAATTTGTTTTCTATCATTGTACGTTTTCTGTCCTGTTCAATATACTTTTTATAAGAGATCCATGGAAATACTTTCTTTCCTCACTGTATATCGCTTTCGGTACTAGATAAAGCAACGGGATCACCATTAGCATCATGAAAACGAATATAAACGATCAAGAGAACTTGGCCACGTTTCAAAACGGTTTAAGTACGTGACCGTGTACAATTTACGAAATAATAGAATCCGCGTAACTTCTGAAATAAGAATTGGATCGCATCTTTGTTGCATCGAGATGAATCGGAAACTGCATCCCTCGCGAATGCTTCGATCATATTAAATTCAGTACCTTCAGTTCATTCTACTTTTAATTAACTTTTACCAATAATGATTGTTATATGTTGGAAACTCAATGGAAAGACAACTATTTCACGTAAACGATTACACAGTGTCTAATACCGAGAAAAATCTCGAGACGTTGGAACATAACAGCATCTCGTTAAATTGATACAATAAACTTCAGAAATGCATATCGCTGATGGTTTACTCACTTCGTGAACAGGTTCCGTGCAGTAATCCGAAAGCGGGTAAACACGAACGTATAAATAAAACAAACAGAAGAAAACAGTTATTGACACAAGGAACCAGCAGTCACGACACGTACACACCACTGTTCGAAACTCAACTGAAGTGCCTGGAATTTTGTATCTGACTGGACCGACGCTGTATACCTGCTGTTTACGCGTGCACAACGTCCTCTATGAGTCACCCTTGGAACTGCGCAGTACAGTCGATAAAACAGAAATTTCAAAAATTTGTATGTATCATATTTTATCTTAATAAATTTTCTAAAAAATCAAATCGCAGACTTAAGATAAAGTATTTTAAGTATCTTGAGTCTATGAATAAATACAATAGAAAAATAATAAATTAACATGTGTTACCAGTTATTTTGTTAAATGTATAATATATTTCATGTACGAATATTGTTAATTATAAAAAGTAGTTCATCAGCATGTATAAATGTACTAATATATTCTTAATTTGCTTCAGTTTAAACATTCTAAAAGTTTTATATTTCACATATGTAGTAAATAAGCTACACGTATTTTATATGTTTATGTATAAAACGAGAAAATCGAAATAGAGAATGTTGAATGATGATAATTTATTTTCAACCTAATCTAAACAATTCTCGAAAGTAATCAATATCTACCTTTTTATTATGTTCGAATATGCACTTATAAATTTCCATACATATTCGCTGTTTTATAAGCATAAATAATTGTATAAAACTGATTATAATAAAATGTTTAATAATTTTTTTTATACTTAAGTGTAACGAGATTTATACATTATTTAAGAATTTGATAAAATCCTTAATAAAATAAACAAGTTTCTGTTTGATTTCAACTTCTATAAATAATTTCATAAAAATCTTCATTTGCGTCACCAACTGCAGTCTACGTAATGGCATGAAACTTTTGAAATATGTTACAATCTGACCGTCACATATGCATCCACACATATGAGCATCGTTTAAAGTCATTAGATCGGTTAAAGTTACATGTTGGGTGACAAATCCTTCGTGTCAATCCAGTGTGGATATACGAAGCGAAAAGTCTTATCGTTAGTATCTGAAACCGATAATCAAAATATACGTGGCATACAGTGAGTAAAGAGTGCCTGTAAATGAATTTGTAGTATCATATGACATAGTGCGATCAGATCGACTCTAAATTGTCGGTTCCACAGCCACTGTCATTTGATATTTAATCCTATCCAAGATGACTTCGAGATTTAGCGGGGTTAAATTGGGGCCGCCGATAGAGGTTTTTTCCCTTCAGAAAGCCTTTTTGGACGATACTTATGAAAGAAAAGTCAATCTATCAATAGGAGGTACATATATATCTATTTTTTACTTTAATACATACACTTATAACAAGTATGCAAATGAACAATTAGTGCCAACTTTTTTTTTTAATTACTCGAAATACACAAAGATGCATAAAAATTAATATGCAAATGATATTTTCCTGATTATTTATTCAATTCATTCTTAAATGAATATGATCTTGAATGACCTTCAGGAATAATCTGGTGATTACATAACATATTATGTATAAGATAGAATTTGTATTATTTCAGTGGAAAATTGTTCTTGTTTAATGCATAGAATGCTATTGAAATAATTCTTCTTTAATCAAAGAATGCTTAATGAAACTCTAATGAATTGAAATTATTTTCAGCTTATCGTACCCCTGAAGGAAAACCTTGGGTGTTGCCAGTTGTTAGAAAAGTAGAGAAATCATTAGCAGCAGATGAATTACAGAATCATGAATATCTTCCTGTTTTGGGATTAGATGCTTTTAGCCAAACAGCAACAAGTCTGCTACTGGGAACAGATTCTCCAGTTATTGCACAGGGTCGTGCTGTTGCTATTCAGACATTGTCTGGAACTGGAGCATTACGTGTTGCAGCTGAATTCTTGAGTCATATTCTACATTACGATACATTTTATTATAGCAGACCTACTTGGGGTGAGTGTTAAAAAATGTAAAGGTAATGGAATTAATAATCAATGTATAACTTATGATATGTCCACAGAAAACCATAAACTTGTGTTCATTAGTGGAGGATTTAAGAGAGCTTGTGAATACACATATTGGAATGCAAGTACCCGCAATCTTGACATAGAAGCAATGCTTAAAGATCTTGACGATGCTCCAGAAAATGCTGTAATTATTCTGCATGCATGTGCTCATAATCCAACTGGATGCGATCCAACTCCTGAGCAGTGGTCTAGAATTGCAGACTTAATACAGAAGAAACACCTATTTCCACTTTTTGATAGTGCATACCAGGTGAATAGTTTACACTTGTTTTATAGAGTAATAAGTCTGCAAATGATCTAAATAACAATTTTTTGTCAGGGTTTCGCAAGTGGTGATTTGGATAAAGATGCTTATGCTGTAAGAATGTTTGCCAAGCGAGGAATAGAATTTATGTGTGCTCAGAGTTTTGCTAAGAATTTTGGATTGTACAATGAAAGAGTTGGAAATTTAGTAGTTGTTCTGTCTGATGCAAAAGCAACTGCTCAAGCTAAGTCTCAATTAACCTTGATTGTTCGAGGAATGTACAGCAATCCTCCTAACCATGGAGCAAGGATTGTTGCAACTGTGTTACGAAATCCAGATCTGTTTAAAGAATGGTAGTAGATTTCATATCAATAGAAATAATTAATATACCAGAAGGATTTCACAATTGCTACATATATATGCTAAAAATTTCCAGGAAAGATCATATTACTACAATGTCTGGTAGAATAAAAGAAATGCGGAAGAAGTTATATGAAAGACTGGTTCGTTTAGGTACACCCGGTTCTTGGGAACATATTACACAACAAATAGGGATGTTTTCCTATACTGGTTTTACTGGTGGGTATTTAGTAAAATTAATTTATTCAGCTCGTTTTATCGTGCTTTATTTCATATGACAAATATTATTTCAGAGAGACAAGTGGAGCATCTAGTAAATCATTACCATATTTACATGCTACGAAGTGGTCGAATAAATATGTGTGGACTTAATGAGTCCAACTTAGATTATGTAGCAAATGCTGTCTATGAAACTGTTGTACTCTTTCCACAAAATGAAAAAAATTGTGCATGTTAAAATGAATTCTTAGGACATCATGTATTAAGTATAATTGTTGTTGACGCTTTAGTACTAAAAGCATCGTTGAAGTATGGCAATATTTTATATGCATATAAGTTGCATTAGAACTACAACATTTTTTTATCTAGAAATATCATTTTGGTATAATCGTATTACAATTTTCTTTCAATTTATTAGAGTATACACCTGTAGACTGCTTCTAGCTAAACATCGTCTATGCAACCACTTTTTTCCGAAAAGTTTAAACATTAACACAAACCGTACACCTTACAGAAATGAAATTGTTTCGTTACAAATTGCCTTATCTACAAAAGTACAAAGTGTCATAAAGTATTATGAATTGCCAAATTTTAATACATATGTTAGCAGAATCGCTTATTATTACTATAAAAATTCATTTCCATACTATGTTTGTATATAATAACGATTTTAAAATATTTAGCTTTTCTATCAAGAGATCTCCTTTGAAACGAAAAATATTATTTTCATGCGTTACAACACTATATTTTTTCTATTTGAAACGGAAAAATAGATTTACACGCTATTACTACTTAAAAATTTAAATGTACTAGACATAGTTTCAGCAACGAATTTACAGAAAAAATCATTTGGCTAAGGAAATAGACATTGTTTCCTCTCTATGTTTCAGGTGTTTGTTATGTGTTATAAAAGAAGTTTCTTTTTTATTTCTTAGATGCTTCCAGAGTAGTTCAGGCATATTTTAGATGCAAAAGGTATGAAATATTCAATCAAAATCCCTGGTAACTGATTGACATGTAGTAATAATGTTCATACATCTTCCAACTATTGCATAGGAAAAGTACAATCATGTTTCTTTCCAATTTTTCCAAATTTTATTTCACCTATTCATATACTATATAATGCTAATATTTTAAATGTTTATATATGACACAAAAGAGGAACTATATACATTTGTAACATTTACAGAGTATCTATATACATACATACACATATACATATATATTTTTAGTAAAATTGTTGTGACATTTAAGCTTAGAACACTCCTTGTTCAAAAGTCTGGACCAAATTCACAACCTTGAAGTTGTAGTAAAAAAGGATTACTCATGAATGAATCTGTAAACAATATTGTACATACTGCCAAAGATGATAATTTGAATACGCAGTGGCAGGGATTACTTTTCTATGTATTTATATGAAACAAATGTAGTGCAGAATGCTATTTATATTTTATAAAATAATGTATAGTTTTGTAAAGATAACAGTGTAATCAGAAAGATATTATCCTAGTTTTAACGTGCATTTACCGAAATCTTCAGTACTCCAATAGAATATTAGAAACACAGCAATATAACATTACATTTGAAGAAACGTTATAGCCAACACATTAATAGGGCATGTTGAAAAGTAGAACTGTTCACAAATATATTTGTATTAATACATTAAATAATTGTTATATATGTTTATTTACATATCACTGAAGTCTGTATAAATGAGATAATAGTCAACAAATTACTAATAATAAAATAAAATATAGTGTACACTAAACATTAACAAGAATATGTAATTGTTACTAATTTACATGAAATGACTTGAATCAATCTGCCCATTTGGATGTTTTCTTTTTTAATACAATTGTCCCATCCTCTGATACTGCATTATAATACTTTGTACTATCGTATTTTTGACGCATGTACAGAATATATGCTATAGAACTCAACATCGTTACGGCTCCAAAAATCATTATCATTTTATTCTGAAATATAAATTATGTATAATTATTATTGATATATATTATCGTTTATAAATATAAATTTCGAAAGTAATATTACCGGTTTAACATATAATTCATAATTAACTGCTCGGAATAATCCTGTGCTCCTGAGAGAACGTAAACCATCACCCGGAGCTGGCTCATTCTGTTTTTTACTCATTATAAATTTGAATTATATACTTTTATTGTTATCTTCCTATGTCAAAATTTCTGTAACAGATATCAATTTTACATTCTCAATACTGTCCGTTAGTAAGCCTTTTTTATTTTATATTCATTTGTAGGCAACCTTAACAATTAAAAATACGTTCGAAAACGCCAATAAATACATATATTTATATATCTAATATATATATAGTTAATAAAGTAGTTATTACACGATAACGTTAAGAAAGAAATGCACAACTAATTAAATTTATTGTGAAAAATAATAATTTTATTTTAAACATTTGTACAAAATGTATTGTACATGCATATATTGTACAATACACTATGTACATATGTACATTTAAATATAATGTATACTGAAAACAACCTAACCTGGAAACACCATTACTTTTTAAGTGATAAAAAGTGATATTACAACACTGGAATACACGTGATACTCGGAAGAAAAGTTTTAACGAAGATGGTGAGGAAATTAAAATACCATGAACAGAAATTATTAAAAAAAGTTGACTTTATATCGTGGGAAGCGGATAATAATCTAAACGAAGTAAAAATCCTGAAACTCTATCGGATACAAAAACGAGAAGACTATGCAAAGTGAGAATAAATTTTATTAACTTCGAACTTGACGAATGTATAATATAAACGAATATTTTATATAAATATTTGAATTATTATAGATACAAAAGATTGGCGCGTGAGATACGCGATCTAGGTATGAAAATTAAAGAAGTTGATGCAGAACATCCATTCAGAGTTGAACAGAGTGCATTATTATTAGAAAAATTATATATGATTGGACTGATACCAACAAAATGGGATTTGTCGTTATCGCAAACGGTGAAAGGAGTTTCCTTCTGCAGAAGGCGACTGCCAGTTGTTATGGTACGGAATAAGATGAGTGAGAATCTTAAAATGGCAACACAATTGGTAGAACAAGGTCATGTTAGAGTTGGTGCAGAAGTTGTAAAAGATCCAGCATTTTTGGTAACAAGGTAGATAATAAATGTACAATAATATCTACTAAATAATTGACAAGAAAAGCGAATTGTTATGTAAAAATTAATTCATGTATATTACAGGAATTTAGAAGATTTTGTTACGTGGGTCGATACATCAGCTATTAAGAAACATGTATTAGAATATAATAATGCTGTAAGTATTGTATTTATATAATGTATACTACATTTATATTTTCTATACTTATTAATCATAAATATTATTTTATTACAGAGGGATGACTTTGATATGGCATAAATTAAACAAATATGTTAATAAACAATCACATTTTGTATATTTTGTACTTATACCACTTTTAAATAAGAAAATAAAAGATATTTTTATTTAAAACAATTTTAAATTACAATTTTGGGTGACACCTCTGACCTTTTTTTATTTCTTTTTAGTACATAATGAATTGTAACAATACATAGGAAGATTTTCACTAGCCAGATTCTTATTACCATTGTTATTAGACAAAACTTCCAATTGTCTTTTATTTATTCCTTTAAGTATCATTTTCCGCATATTATCCATATAATTACTAAAAACGTGTTACAATAAGATTTCAGTACTAAATGCATATATTTTCAAATACATACCTGAGTTGTAATATTGATTGAGCAATTGTAAGTATGTTTTTACGATAGTGTAAAATGTTTTGAGCAGTGCTTTGAGAATTTACTGAAGACATCAAGTCTACTGCAAAAGAGCTATCATTAACCAATGGATTACTCTCTTCTAAACATTGTATTAAATTTTTTGTTTTTACAATACTATAACTATTTTCCTGCTCAGTAGTTTGCACATCTGTTATTTTTTCCGAATTTATGATATTGCTAGAATCATTATTCCTAGAGTTTATACATGTAATCTTGTAAGGGATATTGTCGTACGTATTAGATGGGCACGCGCCTGACTTATTCACTAAGTTGATGGTCTTTATTGCCTTGTCTGTAGGAAACAGTGATGTATAATTATTCTTATCGTTTGTTTGTCGTTTTTTCGTTGATAAATTGTTTGTAGTGTGATTAATGGTCTTGGTGAATTTTTGTTCGTTTATATTATTATTTGACACGTAATTATTTATTCCCTGATTTTTCGTATCAGTAATGTTCATAGTAGTTCTATAATTCTCAATTGGCAATTCTATGTTATTCCCTTCGATTAATTCATCGAATATTTCGTCTGAAGAATATGATTCATCAAATCTACATATGGATTGCAAAACAGATTTGCAAGAAGAACAAAAACTCGACCATTCGTCGTCCATAATTTCACCGTTATTAAAACTGTGCATTTTGAATTGATACAGTAATTTAACGGAAGTTCAGACTCCATATTGGACATTTCCGACTTCCGAAAGCTACTATATACTTTGAGTCTACACATTTATCTAAATATACCTTAAAATTAAATTCACCATAAAAAGATATAAGAAAAAAAGTTTTTAATTCTTATTTAAAGAAAAGAAAGTAAAAAGTATTACCTAATTTTTTATCTGGAAAGAAATGTCTACATCAATATATTTTTTTTTCATTAAAGTGAAATTCGATTTATTACAAATCATATTCGCATTGTCTTTTACGATTTTTACAAATCGTAAACTTATAAGTTTAACACATATTCGGTAACCGATGCATTCAACATTTCATTGAAATAATAGAATTTTGGATTCGCAACGAATTGTACCAGATGAAATCTTGTTATGCATCTTCAACGAACAACGCATGCGTTTCATTACAACAGATTTTATAAAAATTGTCACTTGAATTTAGGTCGAACGCATTACACATCAAAATATCTCTGATATGGTTTGTTATAACAGTTTCGCATAGATTGCTTGCACCATATGTATTATCTTTTTGTTTTGAATAATACCAATGCTAGTTATGCAAGCCGAAAAATCTTGATAAAAACCAATGTAGAGCAGTTTGAAACGTATACACTTTACATTTTGTTCTTGGTGTAAGTATCACCTAATCTAGGATCACGTGTCTGTGAAAGCCATTCATCCATATACCTACAATGAATAATTAGTATTCGATATGATACAAATGTTACATGTTAATAGTTTTATATTAAAATCGGCAGTCATTGCTGGTCTCTATGACATTACTACCGCATTACAATGTTTATGGTACACCACAAGAAGAATCGGAAAAGTATTTTTATTATTTAAACGGTTCACTTTCTTTTTCTGATATCTTTCTGTAGTGTAACTAAAAAATTGAATGGGAGTTATGTCGGCTCAGGTCCCCCAAGTATATCCTCCTCCTTTCCTTCATCTATTTACAAAGTTTTTCCTTGAAATCTTTCAAAAGTACTGCAGTTACAGTGTATGAAAAAAAAACATGCTGACACAGTTTTCACCAATATATCAATTGATACAATTTCATAATTTTGTTTCAAAAAAGTACACTCGGTTTCCTCAAATATCTATTGCAGCATACTGCCATTGCTTGTAATTTGATGTGGAAATGAAATACAAATGCAAGTATAATGAACGATGAACTTCTGAAGACAATCTGACACCTTCCTTAAGAGAAAATTATATAATATAAATTGTTCAACAGAAATTAGAATTTTTTCGAAATTATGCCTCTTTTTTTCTTTTGATTTCCGTGACAATTTTTTATATTCTTTGCAACAATTTGTTCATCTATTAGATCAATTATAAATTTTGCTAGATACAGATAACACCAATTCATTTTTTAGTCACTTTCATCAAACTACTTTCACGATCTCATTGTTTTTTTTTGTTTTAGATACAAATTTTTAAATGTACCCTATTCTATCAATTAATTTAGATAAGATATTCAGCACATTTTGGAAAATTATAGAATGTTTTTAGTGTATTTAAATGACTAAACTTGCATTAAAACACAATTATATAACTATATGTATACTTAATTTTTGTGCTCTTAATATCGTGTTCCGCTATTTAAATTATATACAAGACTGTAATACATACACACAATGTGCCAAATATCTCATTAATGCAAAATTCTCAATCTATAGTAATATATTCATGATCTCAAATTTCGTTAAATCATGATATCGAAATACACCTTTCATGATTTGAAGAAATTTGAACCAATACTTTTTTACACGCATTCTTTCTCCATTTTAGTTTATCAATTTATATCTCATTTTACAATTAAACCACGAAACGGAAAATATTATACCATTTTGTTTACACTATACAGACAATTAGAAAATAAAATTAAGCGATTACATTATACGATACCTGAAGTTGATATGAAAATTGCTTACTAATAATATACAGGAATAACATAAAAAGCTACTAATAGTTTCCACTTGAACAAAATTACTATCTACAAGAAACAAAAATATAATAATCAAAGTACACTCAAATCAATTATTATCTTCTCAGATTCAATGCTCGTGTACATGTACATTTACTTTCTCTGTATTAAAAATATGTAACATGTATCTGACTTCATTTCCAGAATTTATATTTGTAAGAAAGTAAATATTAATATATGCCTCTGTACATGTTCTGTTTAAAATGTACTTTCTTCCTTTTGTTTCTAAAAATTATAAGTATTGTACAATTATTTACAACAGCTGCGAGAAACTTATACAGGATACGACTATCTTCTTGAACAAAGTACTTTGTATTATGATTTTTAAACTTCGAACCTTTTTTCACATATACTAGGCGAAACGAAAAATAATAATTTTGTAATTTGTAATTCACGTGATTTGAAATAAATTTGATAAGTTCAAGGCGAACTTCATTTGTATTTTATAATAAGTAATCGCTCTCTCGTTAAAGAAATATATTATTAAACAAAATAATCATAATTGATGATCGATCACTATAACATGGCATACTACTCCCAATTACAATTGAATTTACGCTTTTTTGTTAACCCTTCGATGTTAATATCACGATGTTCTCGTACTTATATATCTTTACCTTTCGTGTATTAATTACACAATGTGTACGATTTAAACAAATAAAAACTCCTTAAAAATATAACTTAAAAATTACTGAATGTTGTTTACAACTTCATACAACGTTGTACAAGCACCGAAGGGTTAAACTATTTCCATCTTTATGCATGCTTGAACATCTTTTGCAAACTATGCTTCCACATCCAAAAACACGTGATCTTAGAACTATTAATAACCGAATTTACTTTTTAAATTATTATTCAACTAAATTCTAAACTGCATTAACCATATCAGAGTTCAGATCAATATAGTAAAACCAGGGTCTCTGATTTTCATAGAAATGTTTAGAGTATTGAATGTTTTTTACGTTCGATTGCTTGTCATTCAATAATTACGCGCTATAAATTACTTTACCTTGCTATAAAATTCGCTGTGAATTCTTAATGCTCAGACAATCTGCACCAACACGAGTAGTCACGTTTAATACAAAATTTTCATTCATACAAGCATACTTTTTCCAATTGTGCGTATGTATTTATGTAATGTATGTTATGAGGTATAATGCAATTAACAATGTAATTGAAATGCTGCAACCCGCGATGAGTGAATACGAATTTGAAAAGAATACACTGAAACATGAAGTATTTCTGTTATTTAAATAGTACACATTATAAAACGATTTCACTTCTTTTTGAGCATATTTCGAATAAAATAACCGTCAACAATAACAAGTACTCCTCATTACGTGATTACGGTTGGTGCATCGCGTCCAGTATATTCACGCAATTTACTTAATTCTAGTGCAATGTCAACCAATGTTTTCAGAACTTCTTGAGCATCTTTCTTGAAAGATGTTGGATCATCTTCGTAACTATCAACGTACACACGAATGGTGGCGCCAGAACTTCCTGTACCAGATAGACGGTATATTATACGGGAACCATCTTCAAACAGTATTCGCAATCCCTGCCAATGTGAAATTATATAATAAACTCAAATCAATTTAAGACATTCTTATACGACGTGTAACAATCAAGTTCCCAAGTAATTTAAAAATTTTATTTTGCAAATCAAACAGATGCAAGATCACCATCTTCATTATTTTAATTTTCAAAATAAAATTTTTAAACGATGTATTCTCGAAATTCAATTCTCACACCTCGGAGAAAAATAACTATATACCTGCTTATTGGCTTGGCTCCCATCAACAGGGTCTACATAGGAATAATTATCAGCTAACTTGACAACATACGTCTTTCCAGCAGATGTCAGCTTTGAACCCACAAATTCAGACTTCTGAATTTCTGTTTCAATATACTGCATCATTTTGTTTGCCCCTTCGGACTCGCAATTTTCATAATCATATCTGATAAAAGTCATGAAAGAAATATTAATAAAGCAGACCATAGCTGGATTGTTATTTATATACTAGTTATTGTTCAGAAAAAAATGTACCTAGTAAAGAAGTTCCTTCCATACGTTTGCCAGTGATCTAACAATATTTCTTCTACAGATTTACCAAGACTTGCTATTACACTAAGCCACGCGAGACATGCCCAAATTCCATCCTTTTCGCGAATATGATCGGAACCAGTGCCGAAACTTTCTTCTCCGCAAAGGGACAGATGCCCAGCATCCATTAAATTACCTAATATCATTAATGAATACAAAATGTATCTTACAGATTTTGCTGCGCACGTAATTAGTGGAACAAATTATAGGGACTATATAAAAGGAAATTGCACTATCTTTGTTTCATTCAGATTACACAAAACATATTACATTCATACTTAAAGCGACATACCAAAATATTTCCAGCCTGTAGGTACTTCGAAAAGTTTAACACCAGTTTTAGCTGCAACTCTGTCTACAGCAGCACCTGTTGGCATGGACCTAGCATATCCTCTAATACCAGTCTTTTTAAAGTATGGTATTGAGTTCAAGTTAGCAGCTAATACAGCTAATGAATCAGAAGGTGTAACAAAGAATGCACTCTTGCCTAATATCTAAAGGAACAAAGGCACATATAAGATTTTTTTTTTCTCCTTCTCCGTGTATCGTATTAGTCTATCTTTCCATTTACCATGTTTCTGTCTCCATCTCCATCAAAAGCAGCACCAAAGTCGTGTGGACCATTCTTTATAGCATCTACTAAATCTTTGGCATACGTTAAGTTGGGATCAGGATGGAGACCTCCGAAATTTTCTAGTGGTGTTGTATTCACGATGCTTGAATCGTCAACACCTAATTCGTTACTAAATATTCTTTTTATATACGGTCCGGTAACTGTAATAATCATATCATTATAATAATCGATGATAATTGCTGGATAATTAAATGTTTCAAGTTATAATCTAATTCAGACACACCTCCATTCATTCCATTAATGAGAACCTTGAAAGCAGGTCGACCACTGCTTCCTTGAAGTAAGCTCTTGATACTTGAAAAATCAAAGATATCTTTCATGTGTTCTAAGTAATCATTCACAGAGTCTATCACATCAACAGTGAATTCACGTCCATCAACCTGAACATTAATAGTCTGTATCTTATCTATGTCTACATTTATATCAGAAGCTATTTTATAGCTCTTCAGTTGCGTGGTGATTTCATAGATTTTATTTGTCACATTGTCTGGAGCTGGACCGCCATTCTCACAGTTAAATTTTATTCCAAAATCAGCATCCGGTCCACCAGGATTATGAGAAGCAGTCAGAACAATTCCTCCTTGGGTTTTGTATTTTCTTATTATGGTTGACACCGCTGGAGTTGAGAGTATTCCATTCTGGCCGACAATTAGCTTCCTCACCTAAAGCATTACATAAATATACTATTGCATGTCATGCTGTATTATCATCCTTATAGCAAGGACAACAGAATCATGATTGAATGCATGGAAATGTCGAAGAAATTTCACATAAATGGAATAAATATTTTATGACACAATATACGAGGCATTCTGGCCTCTTCTCACAGCTTCAAGTTCTTTCGAAACTATTTGCTATCAATCCTCCGCGTTGAATATGAACTGATAAAATTCGGATCAACTTACTCTATTAGCCGCTGCGATTCTGATAATTTTTCCGACTGCCTCTTTACCGTAATATCTTCCATCACCGCCTACAACCAATGTACAACCGGCCAATTGATTGCCAAGTGCTTCGAGTATTGCCTGAACGAAATTTTCCGTGTAATGTTCCTGCGTGAAAACCTTAACGGCTTTTCGTAGCCCGGAGGTACCCGGCTTCTGGCCATCGTACACTCGGGTTTCTATTGTTCTACTTGTCACTGCACTAGACATGCTTGAAAAGATTGTACGGTTCACGAGAAAACAACTGAAATAAAGAATAAAGACCGTTGGTAACCTAATTCAGCGAACGATGGAAATTCAATTTCATGAATTTCATAACACACGTCCTCGGTGTCTGCTAGCAGACTGAACTTTGTCTGCCAATGACACACAAGGGCACGGGTCACCATCTTGAAACATCGCGGCCGCGCTTTACCATCGACTAATAATATCGTTCGGCTGCGAGGCTGGACGAATCTTTCGGCTTCAAAGCAGATTATTGTTACGAGTATAGCTCTGATAATTCGCGGCAAACATCCAATAGAAAAACTCAATGACAGAAACTTCTAATGCGGCATTACTGATTATCGTAGTAGCTTCCATTTAATATGAATCATGTTAGATGAACAAGTAAAAAAAAAAATAAATTACACTCGCCTTATCGCCCGAGTCTTGAATAAATATAAGTTTTCCACTTCTCAACTAACAGAAGTTCTATTCGTCTATTATTTGTTAAATGTTTTATTTCATGACGGTCTTAACTCTTTCAGATATAGAGGCCAAGGAACGTTTTGAAACTATTGATACGACAGTTACCACCATATGGCAGATCGAATTTTATTAAGCCCTATATTTTTTATACAACTGTACAATTGTTAAAAAAAAGTAGTATAAAAATTGTCTCACCGTACCCAAAAGAGTTAAAACGTTTAGTCAAATACATACTTGTGTTTAGTAATTCTAATAATAATCTTAAATATACTATATCGGGAATTTTACGATGTCTTGAAATCTTGTGGAATTTGTATTCTTGATTTGTTCAGAAGATTTATAAGACAGTACCTAGAAATCTTATCGTTGCGTTTGCGATTCAAAGCATTAGGAAGAAGACCGAGGCAACGGTCGCGGAAGAAATGAACGGATGAAAGAGAAAATAAATTCTGTTACGTCACACGCACGCGACATATCTTATTATTCGATAGTATGTGCTTCGTTACATTCATTTTGAAGATGAACGAAAATATAAAGAAAAAGTATTATATGAAATTCACACGCGCACATAGAGGAGCGCTGCTTATTATGATGATGAGTACTAGTAGCGAGGAAAAATGAGGAGGAGGGAGCTTGTTATGTCAAGGATGTCCGATATAAGTACGCGGGTTTACAAAACAGAGACTTAGTTGTTTAAAACAACGGTTTTCCTGAAGTTTCAGCCACGAAACTTGACTCGTCTTGAAAGAAAGTGTCACTTTAAAATTGTTTCACTGTTAATCCAGTAATCATAGTACTTGCGTTAACACTCGGCGGAGTTGTGAATGAATATCGAACAAACTATTTTAAATTATTTTTAAACTGTGTAAAAATTTTGTATCTTAGTGGTTTATAATTTACTATAAACAATAATTTCAACTGTTCCAAATGGATTTTACGAAGAACTCTTGAAAATATTAGTGTGTATACTGTATTAGGTAAGTACCATATAAACATTTGTTGTTATGACCTTATTATAAACTCTTTAACTATTGAATGAATTTGTCTGATTTTTATAAAATGATTTATGAAAATCGGTATTCGTATAAATATTCACAGTTTTTAGTTATGAAAATATACCGGGTGTCCAATAAATATAGTGCAATAGAGAAAGAAATGACTTTACTTGCAAAAACAAATGGAAAATGTAGTATAAAATCTTTTCATATTACGCTTCGTTTAGCGAAATAATCGAATTTATAAATTTGTCGAACAAGCATGTTTTCATGTATAATTGATTGATATTTTCCAGTACTCTTACTCTACCTTAATTTTGAATTTATATAAAATAAAGTGAATATTAATACAAGTACAAATAATTAAAGATGCATGAATAATCGGGCAAAATAATTCGTATGACGAATTTTCAAATTCGTATTTCTCAAGAATAAAAATTCGTGCAACAAATTGTAGTCTCGTTTTTGTACATAGAAACACTTTCTTTTCGGTTGTTTTACGATTTATTGGACACCGTATATAAATTAAATATTCCTTTATTAATAATATATATTTTGTTAATAGAATAAATTTGTTCCTTTGGTATGAGAATAAATTAAATACACTATGCCTAAGTCAACTGATTGGGATACTAACACACAACATGACAGTGGATCAGAGAGTGCACCATTACTCTCTTCTGAATCTCACAGAAGTGTGGAATCAACCATATTTCATGACTCTGAGACAAGTGACTTTGAAAGTACACCTGTCAATGCACATTTCAAGTACTAATATTTGTTTTTATTAGTATTTGCTTCCAAATGGTTTAGCTATTAAAGTCACTGACAGTAGCTGTTTATTACATGTAATTTTTATAGGTATGGTAGTTTAGAAGTATGTAGTGTTCACTCCACTGCTACTATATTACCAAAGAGACCACCACCCCTTACTCAAGAAAATGCTTTACTTATGCCACTATCCTTAAACACATCTTGTCCATTAAATGTAACACAAGACAGATGTTATGAAATTCATAATACTGATCTGGTGAGGATACCACAAACTATATAAAATTGCATGTTCTGTTCGATATAGTGTTTTCACACATATCAAGTTCAAGTTAACTATAAATGTGTATATACCTCTGTAATTAACTTCACTTAGATCTTATTTCATGTTATGAAACTTGGAAGTATCATAAAAAATATTTGTGTGAAACTAATTCTGCTTCAAAACTAATGTTAACTCTGCTCTTCAGTATTATTAAAAGTGTTAATATTTGTGTTTCTATTCTGCCAGGTATATAGTAATGAAAAATGTGAATCGAATGAAAAACAATCCTTGCCAAATGACTTCAATAGCAAATACTTATCTCAAGCATATTTATTGGAAAAAGAAACCACGTGCAACACGTGTAAGGATATCAAACCGAAACAAAGCTCTCTGGTTACTGTGTAAGTAACATTAGAAATTTCTATTGAATGGTGTACAACTCATAGATAGGAACTATGTGTGCAATAGGAAGATGCTTCTAGAAAGAGACAAAGAGAAGTGCTTAGCACAATGGTCAACAGAAGATTAAATTTAGCACTGTAGCATATTGTACTATTAATTACAAATTATTATCAGCTATCAATGTTATCATCAAGAAAGGGTTCTGGGTCAGTACTCTTAGTTCTCTGTTCTGAAATCTAATCACATTCATAAATTTTTTTCTTATCACTCAGCAGTCGTTATATTTTTAGTAGGTCGATGACGAGAGAAAAATGAAATCTTGCATCAGAAATAGCTATATGCATTTTGAGTGTGATAAATCAACAGATGCTTACCACAAGCATTATATCAATTCCCTCATATCGTACCTTGCCCATTCAATATATATTAAGAGTCAAAAAAAGAGAGACAATCTATGTAGAGTGTTGTGTGTCCTCAGATAACAGAAATGTTTTGCACCTTCGACCTATTTATAGAGATAAAAATACAACTACAGATATTCATTGAGCTCTATAAATAGCACATTACGCTATTCCTTAATCTATTATATTTTGAAAGAATATTCAATTTTCATTTAAATATATTTTACAAAGTATTTCATGAAACCAATAACATACTTAAACTGTATCAATACAAAGGAAACTTATACAAATTTGTACTCACCTACCCTTGACTAAATTTTTTCTTTCGCAACTCCATCAGACTACTAAACGTTAAAAGTAGTCAAAATTCCATACTATTTTCATGCTAATATTCATCACTACGATTAATTATCAAGTTTATGATTATTATTCGAGGATCGAGAAAACGATAATTCGTTTCCATATCTTAAAAGCACGCGCCCCTTAATATATTCTCCAACGATAAAAATTTCATATCACAAAATTGGAAATTCTAACTTACGTATGCGGATGCATTTTTTATATCTGTACACTGTTTTTTTTTAGAACAAATTCGAAAATTTCGTAGACGCATGCTTTTAAGACATGGAAACGAACGAGAACCAACAAGAACGAGGCGAACGCGGTTACCGGTCGCTCACGTTTCAGCAACCAACGGGTGGTTGTGTCTGCTGCACAGTATATTCACTTTAGAAGGGTTAGTGCTCTGCAATCTTGATTCATTCCAGAACTGGTCCTCGATTATTTGAAATCCAAAATAAAGAATATTTCAATACCTCTGTTCCTTATATTTGAAAAATAATTTCCGAAAAGTATGTTTGATTTTATGTTAAAGCAAACTAAATTATTGAACAAATAAATGATTAATAAATAATAATAGATGCAATAGAATTTTAAGTGTGATATTCATTCTCATATATTTATAGGTTTTCAATATGGAACACTATATTAGGCTCATCTTTATTAACAATACCATGGGGTATTCAAATGGCCGGTTTTTTCCCCGGTATTATCCTTATACTTGTAATGAGCGGTTTATGTTTATACACGGCTCATTGTCTTCTTCTTGTACATAAATATCATGGTAAAAAAATATTCACTTACATATTCAAAGAGGATAATGTTAAGGGCTACAGGATAACAACTAAATGATGGAAATTTGTGGTTTTAGGTGGACACACGGGTATAGAAGTAATTCATCTGAGTCGAATATATTTAAATAAATGGGCAGAATACGTGGCTCAATCTTTCAGCATCACTGTATTGTTAGGAGCAATTGTTGCATATTGGGTACTAATGTCTAATTTCCTATACAATTCTGTAAATTTCATACATGGTAAGTATAACATAAAATTCCTACGGTTCACTGTCTTTTCAATGCATAACATAAAAAGATCTCAAAATTTTATGATTTTTCATAGATAGTATAGGAGGAACATCTGACATTTCTGTAACTGATAATGGTTCTTATCCATCAGAAATATTGTGCCCAAAGGAAACAGTGTACAATGATACAAATACTGCAATTCATGAATATACATACAGTTCTATAGGACCATTTTGGGATTTATACAAGACAGTTCCCATATTCCTGGGTGTATTAATCTTTCCAGTTTTGAATTTCAATAGTCCTACCTTTTTTACAAAATTCAATTCCCTTGGTAAGTAACAGGAGCGCAACTCGTCTTTAAATTAAAAGCTGCGTTGCATGACAATGAATCGCCGGCTTAATGTTCTTTTTTAGGTCACAACAAATATACGACTTTGTTCTATACATTTATATCTTATTCTATCAAATTATGAAAACTCTATGTATCTCACAGGAACCGCGTCAGTCATATATTTGATTATATTTGTCTTGGTAAAATCAGCCTCGTGGGGCATTCATATGGATCAAGTGGACTGGGAAATTAGCTGGACATTGAAATTCTCGTTTCCTGCTCTTTCTGGAATGCTGGCAATGTCATTCTTCATTCACAACATCATAATTACTGTGATGCAAAATAATCGTGATCAAACTAAAAATGTAAGCAATAACGCGTCGTTTATAAGGCTACAGTCTTGTAGATTTTTAAAGTAAAGCTCTATTCCTATGTTTCAGGGAAGAGATCTTTCTATAGCATATTTTCTTGTTACACTAACTTACGTTATAGTTGGTATAGTGTTTTACGTGTGTTTCCCGCTCAACAAATCATGCATTGAAGATGTAAGTAAAATAGAAAAATATTTAATGCTCAAAATATTACCTCTTTTGAACTTAAATAATAAGTTATATTCTCTTTACAGAATTTATTGAATAACTTTCCAAAATGGAGCGGCTTAACTGTGGGTGCTCGCATCGTTCTACTCTTCCAATTGTTAACAGTATATCCGTTGCTTGCGTACATGTTACGCATTCAATTACTTTCGTTGATATGCAAAACATCTAACACAGGCTGTGTTGTTTTAGTTAATATTATTCTGGTATGTATATGTATTTTGTTTGCAGTTTTTGTACCATATATTGGTACAATAATACGGTATACAGGTGCTCTAAGCGGTTTCGTGTACGTGTTCACATTTCCAAGCTTATTGTATTTAGTAGTTTTGAAACAGCAGAAACGACTGACACTATTTCTTCTACTCCTGCACATAATTATACCAATATTTGGCTTTTTAAATCTATTCGCCCAGTTTTTCGTCACAGAATCGTAAATGTGTTTTCAAACTGTGAATGCGTCTTTAAATTTAAAAAAGTAAAATACTCAAAAGGTGTGCAGTCTTATTCCTAACAGTACAATTTAAAAGTATCCAATGCATTTGTATGTGATTGTCAGTAATAATATATAATTGTGCTAGAAATAGTGTTTAAGCTCTAGAAAACAAATTGTGTATTAATTTCATGTTGAATATTCATACACGCGTATATGAATATGCATGTATGTGTTATTAATTGTACAAAATACAAAAATTATTTATTCATTATTTTTCTATAAAAAATGTTAGATCACAAGCTACAGAATAATTTATACATTTTATCTAGAATAATTTATTTACAACTATGTTATATTTGTAACAATAATAAATATTTTTTGTTCATACCTATGTTTACTAATATATTATTAAGTCCTTTTTGAAACTTTATAGACCCAAACAGTATCAACACCTTCACCTATTATTTTTATTGCATTCATATTGGGAAGTGGAAATCTGCAAGCAACTATAACACAGTCTTCCTGTAATTCTGCCATAAACTTGTTTTCTATCTCTTGCATCTGTAAAGATTGCAGTATATTAATTGTGTTTAATTATTATGGAGTAACATATAAGAAAATAATAAATATAATACCATTTGACCAACACCAAACAGGACAACATTATTATAATTTCTCAAATTATATGTCCATAGATTTTGCCTAATGAAAGTTGTCTGTGATGATAATCCTGTGAATAAGGCTTTTAATCTTGAGTACCAGATCAACCATGCATTTAATTCAATACCATGAGCTGCGAATCCAGCTTTGGCTGCTGCAAATACCTATTCAAATAAGAACAATGTGCTGTAAATATATAGAAAATTATTTGTACTCAAGATTTGTTCAATATAGGCAGCAATTCTGTTCTTCCACAACTATGCTAGAGTATTTCAAAATGTCAAATTAATTACTATGCGTCCATCTCCACTCCCAAGGTCAATTAAAGATCCAGAGTGTCCTTCTACGGCGCGTAATACATTTTGCACCTGTTGTCCCGTAGCTGGTACATAAGGCAGACATATTCTGCGAAATGCAGGACTCACAAATGGGATACATATTATACTTATAGCTGTTGCAAAACCTCCTGACATTAAAAATATACGTATCACAATATATTATAATGAAACCAGTATAACTAATTTTGTACTGTCTCACCTGTTATTCCAATAAGATATAAACCAAGCTTTGTCGCTTTACGTGATTTTATGGCATCATTAGTTTGATCGAAGATGTAATCTAGTTCACTAACCTCTGCTAAGTAAATTGATCGTCGATTAAAATGTTTGAATATGAAAGAAAGGCTCTTCCAAAAAATGTATAAATGTTAACATGGCAATCTATAATTTGTAATTGATGAATCTTACACATTTTGTATATTTCGAGCTTGTCAACTAAATGAAAAACCTCTTCTTTGCTGCCGACAAGTAATCGAAGCAACCCACATGGCTTGAGAAGATAATTTCAAGATATTCACATCTCGGATGAGATATACCTATGGTAGGAGAACTTTGGCTCTCCTGTCTCTCCCTAAAATCTTAACATATTTCAAACTTTAACATTAAATATCTTGAAAACTATTTAAGTTAGAAGATTGATATCTTCTGGAAGCAGTAGTTCTCAGCATCTGTCAGAAATTTTATACATTTAAGAAATAATAATAACACAATTATAGAGAACAAGATAAAGTATCTTTACAATGAAATCGCGCGCTCTAACGTTTTAAATCTCACAAGCAGCATGCCGGGGAATTTTCTTAACTTATCAGGCTGTTACGTCGTAAGACGATCTGGTAACTTGCGAATTTCTGGCTGCACTGTTTCCTCTAAACATTCTCGAACTGCAGGATGATGCATCAGTATGATTTCTTGGGCAGAAGTGGGGTAGAGGCAATCGTGATTCTTGATCGCGATCCATGCATCAGTCACTGTCCTACGAGCCGCATTGTTCGTATTGTTTCTTATTATTTTCACGGTGAATTGTTTTCGAATTCTCCGATGTGTTGTTGATGATTTCACGTGTGGATTCTCGGTTCTGTTCACGAACAAATTTTTTCCCTGTGAATACAATCAGATAGTCAGCATTTTTGCGTTTTCGCAAGAAAAGCCATCAAGATGCCGGTGTTTCACACGAAAACTATCGAAAGTATTCTCGAGCCTGTGGCACAGCAGGTAATTCAATTTTCACTTTTATTGTTTATCAATTATCATGTTAGTGAAAATATTACTTGATATTTTGACGCTTCGAAAAATGTGGACTGGTTGTTTTTATCTCTTGAAAAGAGGGTAGGAGGAGAATATTGAAAGATGATAATTAATAAAAATATAATTGATAACGGGCACGTTAATGTTTAAAGAATTATTTATCTTTGACGATTTTTATGTGTATATAGAACGTAAAATAAACATTTTCATGTTAGGTTTACTTCGTATCTATATATATATTATGATTGTATACATTTCGAATCTGTCAAACCACGTATCTATTAATTAGAATTTATCTGAGCTGCTTAAAGGGAATATGAGAGAGACGATTTATTTTCAACGACATTAATATTAATTATGAATGGTTGTATTTATCATGAGTCAAATTGCCAAGTGACTTGTGTTTCTTTATATAGAACTATGACATCATTGTACAAATATAGGGCAGGGATACTAAATTCATCTTTAGGTCTGAAAGCTTGGATGTGTGAAACATAATCCCTTTGCTCACTAATTCATTAAAACAAACATACGAACCACTTCAGATCCTTTGATATTTCCAAAAATGGACATGTTGAGGCTACCTATCATCACATCATCCCACACATTACACATACAAAAGTATGAATGTAATTACAGAATGGCCTTCTGAATATGTAAATGATTTTATTTCAGTGTTAATGTAAAATAAAAATAAGCACATTTATTATCCTGATTTAATCACAACAAAATCTTTATAGCAGGATCCAATGTAATAAATAAAAAATAATTTAATGGACAATTTTTAAGAATTCATTTTATCAATAAAAATGTTTTGAGTATTTAAAATTAAGGGCATACAAGATTTTACAAAAATATATTCAATAAAATATTCCTACAGATGTAATTATTAAAAATGACAAACATTTTCACTTTAATGCTTTACAATTTAATGTATAAATCTGTGGGTAAATTAAGCATTGAAAAATTAGAAAATATATAACTTTAGTATTTGACCGTATGTTTTTTTTTATGTACATACATATTTGTGTAATATAGGTCTCGAGGCTTGTTATTCTACATGAAGAAGCTGAAGATGGAAATGCAATGCCTGATTTGGGCAGACCTGTACAAGCAGTTAGTATGGCAGTGGCAAATCTTGTGAAGGTGAGTTAATGCGTAGCTTTAATTTTCCAGTCAAACTGAGGACAAAACTTTATTAATTTTTCCTTAAATTAATTATTACGCATAGGTGGGAAAGGAAACAATAAATTCATCTGATGATGCTTTGCTGAAACAAGATATGCCTGCTGCATTACAACGTGTGGAAGGTGCTTCACGCCTTTTGGAAGAAGCATCAGCTATGTTAAAACAAGACCCGTATTCTGGACCAGCCAGGTACTGGGAATATAAAATATTTTTTCTTATATAAAGTATCGATGTTATACGAGGTGTGATAATAAAGTATTCTCGAAACTTTATTGTCACACTTTGTAGTTCACTTTTTTGGTAAATAACTTTTTCGATTTATTTTAGGAAAAAACTGATAGAAGGTTCACGTGGTATCCTTCAAGGAACCAGTTCATTGTTGCTCTGTTTCGATGAGAGCGAGGTGCGGAAAATTATTCGAGAGTGCAAGAGGGTGCTAGACTACTTGGCAGTGACAGAAGTTATTGAAACCATGGAGGATTTGGTTCATTTTCTGAAGAATTTAAGTCCTTGCCTTAGTAAAGTATCGAAAGAAGTAAGTGCTCGCGAAAAAGAGCTAACTCACCAGGTGCACAGAGAGATTCTTGTTCGATGCTTGGATCAGGTAAGTCTAGAACAAAGTTGTACGTCTTTTACATTTATTATTATTCATAAACATACGCACTGAAATCTGTTTTTTTTATAACAGGTGAAAACTCTTGCACCAATTCTGATTTGCTCGATGAAAATTTTTATTCATATTATCTCTCAAGGTGGTAAGGGAGCAGAGGAGGCCGCTGAGAATCGAAATTACTTATCCGGTCGAATGTCTGACGAATTGAACGAAATTATCAGAGTATTGCAACTGACAACGTATGACGAGGAGGAGTGGGACGCTGATCAATTAACAGTAAGTATTCGTTTAAATAATTTAATGGTAAATAAAATAATAACTGTTTTATCTATTAGGTCCTCAAAAAAGCACAGAGCGCTATAGAGTCCAGAATAAGAGCAGCCTATGACTGGTTAGACGACGGACTTGCCTTACGCGGGGGAGTAGGAGAAAAGAGTCTCCGCCAAATAGTAGAACAGGCACAACGCCTAGCAGATAGATATCTTCCTCCTTCGCAAGCAGAACCATTAAACAAATTAACTTCACAAATCGTTACTATGACCAATGCCCTTTGTGAACTCCGTCAGAATGAAAGAGGTTCTATTATTTATCTGAAAATCTCTTTGATGCTATTCTCTATCAATCTAATCTATTTTTTTCTTGTAAGTGTGTCGGTATTGACCTTACGCGTAATTATTTTAAAGGAACCACACCACAAGCGGAGGCCTTGGCGCGTGGCATCAAGGAAAAAATGAACGAGCTCCGAAGTTCTATTGCTTCCGCTATAGTGGCTGCTGATAAATCTGGTACTGCTCAAACTGCCCACACAGTCGCAGGCCGTTTAGAACAAGCCAACAAGTGGCTGTTGAATCCTCAACACGATGACAAAGGACTTGGCCAAAGGGCCATAGCTTTGATCATACACGAAGGAAAGAAGGTATAGCACAATACGTAAGGTACACCATTTTTCGGATATCGAATACCTAGGTACAGTATAATTACCAATACAGATGCTTATCATACAACTTTAACAATTTGAATGCCGCAAACGGAAAGAATCAGCAACACGTAGCAAGCGTAAGTTACGTGTAACATACCGAGTACATATTTGTTCTGAAATGCACCTCAATCTAATTATACTGTTGGTGTCCTGACCTTAATATGTGATCCAACTTCTAATCTGTTTCGTGTTCATCAGTCGGTTTATACTTTAAACATTAGGTTGCCGAGGGTTTGCCAGGCATACACAAAGCGGAGATCCTGAAATTGTGTGACGAGGTGGACAACCTCTCTCATCAACTTGGAGATCTGTGCGCACATGGCCAAGGGAACACACCGCGTGCTCAAGAAATTGCTCGTCAATTGTCACATAAATTGTACGAGCTGAAGAATAGAATCCAACAGGCTGTTGTGTCCAGAGTGGTCGAAGACTTTATTGACATCACGACGCCTTTGAAACAGTTCACGGATGCTGTTTTAGCTGCGGAGGGTACCCCAGGACGTGATCAGAACTTCAACGATAAAACGCATGCTCTTCAAACGTTCTCCAACAGGGCGGCCAAGACTGCCAGAATGGTGGCCGCTGGCGGTATGTAATAATACAATTACTATTACAATAAATTTTTTATTAACCAGTAGTAAAATCGATATCGTTTTTAATTAGGAAGCGGCGGAAACAAGAAATTGGCAGAAGCGTTGGCTGCAAGCGCTTCGCAAGTCGAATCATTGACTCCGCAATTAATAAATGCTGGACGAATCCGAATGACGTACCCAGACAGCAAGGCGGCGGATGAACATTTTGAGAATTTGCGACAACAATACGCAGAAACGATGCAGAGAGCACGGGCATTGTGCGACGAAGCAACGGACAGCGGGGACTTTATTAGAACTTCGGAGGAACAGATGCAGAAGCATTCATTCCTTTGCGAAGAGGCTATTGCCAAGACCCACCCGCAAAAGATGGTGGACAATACCGCTGCTATTGCTAGATTGGCGAATCGGGTGATACTCGTGGCCAAGCAAGAAAGCGACAACAGCGAAGATCCCGCGTTTATTCAGAGAGTTAACCATGCAACCGATGTACTTCAAAGCAGTAAGTGAAATAGTTATTAAGCAGTGTTCGTACGAATCAGTTATAATACATAAATTATTTTCGCACAGGTGTTGCTCCAATGGTGCAAGATGCAAAGCTGGTTGCAATTAATATCAACGACAGCACTGCAGTCTCTCGTTGGAGAGAAAGCAACCGTGCAGTAAGTGATACACTACTCGTGACTCGATATACAATTATTATGAATATATTATTTTATTTAATATATTCATTGTTTTCTAGTTGTTGGCTAATGTTGGACAAGTACGCAAGGCCATTATAATTCAACCTGATGTTATACCGCCACCGGAAGTGTCACAATTACATCTTAATGACGGTAAGTGTATAAAATGTTTCTCGAAACATGCTATTAACTCTTTTTATCTTGTATAAAAATTGGCACACTAAATGTAGGTTTCTATGGAAATAGGTATTTAGTAGTTTTGGTATAGTAGTGGTTAACAAATTCGTATTATATCATGATTCTATCCTCACTGGGTATTCTTTCACGCTTGTAGGTATCTAAAGGATACTTGATTCGGTATTAAGATATCAATATAGGTTGATGTGTAATTCTTGGCTTTTCCTCTCACTAAAGCTGCATTTAATATTTTAAACAAATAATATTCACATCTATGTTAAATAAAAAAATATGAGTATGATAATAGGTCTTTTATACCAAATTGAAAGTTTTCACGGAGTAAAAGTGCTTAACATATTTCTTCCAGACGAACAATTGCCAAGCCGTCGATATAATTACTTCACAGACAAAGGTACTATATATTTGCATGAAGACGATATATGCATGATTGATCATCATATTATAGCAGTAGAATTCCATTCTTGTGAATTTATTAAATACACACAAAGAAGAAATAATAATAGTGTTTTAAACATAAAAATATTGTGTTCTATACTAAATTCATGTCACATTTTAAACTTGAAAACATATAAAACTATTTTTTTTTTTCACTCGTTACTATAGGATATCTTAAAAGAACGGTATTTTCGTCGATTTTATTTTATAATTTTATTCGCAAAAGGTGAATATTTTTTTAATATTTCTTTGGTATACTAGTTGGTGAACCTTTACGAAATCAACCATCGCCAAGCAATTTATGTGTCATCAGCCCTAATCTGAACACAAATAAACCCCAACACCGCTCTATCAGCCCATTACCAAAGTGGGCGCGTGAAGGTATTTACTGTTATCCAAAAGAGAATATGCCAAATTTTAAACAGAATATTCGAAATAACAATATATTTTGCTTACATTACTTTTGCCTCGTACTGGAAAGAAACGCAGAAATTTCGGAGGCAATATTGTTCTTTCATATGCCGAGGTGTCAAATTAATGAATTTTTTTTTATCAGGAGATAATCCTGATCTCCTGTATCAAGAACTGGCTTCTGACAACGAGTTAGAAAAATCAGTTCACGATGGAGGTAATTTAAAATTAGTACTTCTGGGGTCTGAAAGCTGCAAGTTTTCAATACCTAAAACATTATTTCATGGGAAAGAAGCATGTTTAAATTAAAATCAAGTATATTTGTATCTGTTCAATTATTAATCTTTAGCTACAAATTTATAGGAATGAAACACTACATATAATTATTATTTAGTTACTTAAATCGATTATAATGTATTTCTCGAATTCAATGAGCATTTATTGTTGCACAAAATGTTGAAATTAATGCAATAGTACTATTCATTGCTTCTAGCAATTCATATACATATACTTTTTTTTTATGTTACATAACATTGAAATGATCATTCGGCATTTATCATACTGTTTGTATAACGGGTACATTAAATCTTCATCTCCCATGTTAACATTTTCAGTATATGGTTATTAGTATTTTGAATGATTTTTACCAAATAATTCATTCTATTATTAATATAACTACATATTAAGTGTGTCATATGTTATCACTGCATGCATGCTAAAGTACTCTTAGTACTCATATATAACAAAATATTCTAATGATGTGTTTGCACCTTTAACGCTGCGTGGAATGTGATAGGCTGTTATTATGATTATGACAATGACAATGGTAATTATCCCTGCACTTTTCTCGATATTGTACATGGTATGTTAAACTCTACTGTGTAAAGTGTAATGTTTGTTTTCAAGGGAACTCTATCATGTGGGCAACAAATTTATAGCTTGCCAAATATTTACTATAAACAATTTGAATTTTTTCATGCAGAAATTGCACCACCACGTCCACCATTACCTGGCGGAGACATACCACCCCCAAGACCTCCACCACCGGAAACGGATGATGAGGATGAAATGTTTATGCATGCACCGCAACCTAATCAGCCTATAATGGTACATCGGTCTTACATCCTGCGTTTCAATAAATAAGATAAAATTCGAAAGAATTGAAGTTAATGTCTATGTAAAAAAAATTTGAGAAACAGAATTGAACAAGATCGCGGGTATAATTTTAGATGGCTGCCCATGGCCTGCATCAAGAAGTACGACAATGGTCTAGCAAAGATAACGATATTATTGCTGCCGCAAAGAAGATGGCTATCTTGATGGGTAGATTATCTGGTTTAGTTAGAGGAGAAGGTGGTAACAAGAGAGACCTAATCGCTTGTGCTAAAGCCATTGCAGAGGCCTCTCAAGAAGTGACTCGTTTAGCTAAGGAACTAGCTAGAGAGTGTACTGATAAACGTATTCGTACGGTACGTACACATTTTACATAGTATTTGGTACTATTTTTGTTTACCGTTAATTCATAATTCTTATATTCACGTTTTAGAACCTCCTTCAAGTTTGCGAACGTATACCTACTATAGGCACACAGTTGAAGATATTATCAACAGTGAAAGCTACAATGCTAGGTGCACAAGGTATAGTACATACATTCCTTCATAAATTAAAAATAATTTTTCCTTATCGCAATGTGTACTTTACGCAATTAAACGTAATTTCTTGAATAAAAAATTAACGGATGTCGGGGAGTATAACTTTGTATACTTAAAGAAAATTGATCTGACTATTATTAATTAAATTTTTTATACATAGAGACGCTCCCTACCTGGGAAGAGTTGATGCTTTATGGTAAAAAAAAACGTTGATAAATTATGCTTGATGTCTTTATCGTTCTCTTTAGCGTTCCTTTTTGTTTCATTTTTCGGGTATACACGAGTCTTGCACTTGCATTACAATGCATGCGCATCTTTAGTCTTCCCCACAAATGACCAAGAAACAATTCTAAGAATAACATTTATTCTATTATCTATGAAGATCTTCAAGAATAGCAGAAAAAGTAGCACTGATACGATTCACAATCAAACTGTCTTTTAATATTTTCACCATTGAACTAATGTTTATTGATATTTTATTTAAACTTTAAATGGTTTTCGGTTGATATGCCTCTGCTCATCATGGTGTAGACGAGTTGATTGGCTGCAGTAAGTTTATCACGCAATAAGTATAAGTTAGCATAGACCATATTGGTTGACGATGATAGTCTGTGAATATTAACGTTGTGTATATTTTAGAAGCAACATTGTACTTGCAAAACGTACTTCGTCTATAATACGTTTCATATATCATCAAAGTAGATTACAATGAACCAAACTGGTATACGTCGCCATTATTAAAACTAGTACTTGTACCATTTCTCATCAGTCTTAGTGTCCATACTTTGGGTTTGTCCCCGTTGCATGAATCTCTTGATTAATAGATACACTGTCCCGCCCTTTGGAATAGTTGAAATGTGTTTTCAAAATACATTCCTACATACATATGTATTTAAGGACTACCAGCATTTATGTATTGCATGCAATACAATACAGTAGTTACATACGTCTATAAGAAATAGACAGATCACATAGTTTTTATCCCTGAACACATTCTTGCAACAGGTATATTCACTAGTACAACATGTGTGATTTTTATTTCAGTAAGATTGTTTTAATTTATTTTATTTTACCGCACTGCAGTTTCGATTAATATACATTGTTATATTATGGAATGTAATGATAGAGATGAATATTTTCCCATAGTAAATATTTTAATTTTATACCTCCAAAATTTTGAATTTACTTAATACTAAATTTTTGTTCCAAAAATATAGGCACAGAAGAAGATCAAGAAGCAACGGATATGCTTGTCGGAAATGCCCAAAATCTTATGCAGAGTGTAAAGGAAACCGTCCGTGCGGCAGAATGTGCAAGTATAAAGATACGCACTGCTTCTGGTATGAAGCTGCGTTGGGTGCGACGTCAGCCTTGGTACCAGTACTAAATCTGACGCAATATTGAAAGTGAATTAGAACAAATGGGTAAGACTTCCTAATCTTGGATACATTTTAATAACCGATTCCACATGGTATATTTCAAGAAAGTGTTCTAACAAGAAGCAACGTTCAGGTGTTCAGAATTCATTGAATTCTTCCAAGTCTTCCTATAAATATAAGCCTTATTGCTTTCTTGTACGAAGGAGCCTTTTTATCTTCCTTGCATCAAACGACTTTCTTGATCTTTTTATACCAAAAGCCCGGTGACTTTGATCGCGCGAAACAAGATGACTGCTGCTGCGTTGTTGCTATATAGTAATCTGATGTAAACATACTCCAAACTGCAAGATTTTAAACTTTTCGAAAGTAACATCATGCAGCAGATTGTGAATGATTTTTGATACTACAAGTACTACAGATCGCGCAATCAGAACCGCCGTGTCTGAATAGAGCCCTTGTTTTTTTTTTTGTTATTTTCATGTATCAGGAAGAATTTATAGCCTTCTGTGCCCCTGAACTATAGTTCTTGTGATAGTCTAAACATAAAACATAATCGTAATGATAATTTATATTTATACACGTATTGACAAATAATATATTCTCCGCGTAACAGTTATATAGTTTATAACATAACGAACGAGCTAGTGATTTATATTAGAAAGATACTTTTGCACGAATTGAGAAACGTATCTCAGTCATTGAAGTATAATCTAAAAGTATTTTCAGACGACCTATTTAAAGAGCCTATCTCTCTCAGTCTAATGAAAAAGTGAAAAAAAAAATTAAGTAGGGACGATAGAGCTTATGCCTTACAAAAATTACCAATTTGCTATATATTTGTACATGTATTCGCAGTAAGTGTACTTCTCATATATATATATATATATATATGATATATACATATATATATATATATATATATATCGACCCTAACATCAGCACAATTAATAGAGCAAAAAATTTTTATCTATATGAGGAACACAATCGACCCAAGATAGTGCGACATATTTTTACAGAGTGAAAATTTTGCGAATCTAATTTTCATAGGGTGCTATTTACCGCAATATATACGTAGAAAACCTTAATATGCAATATTACGATAAGGGAATCTATTTTTATAAGTTTTGTGTAATCAATCCCTTTTAGAGAATTTATATAGTCGTCTTTATATTCTTTTTCTTTCGAACTGGTGCTATATACGTGCAATATAGGTACGAGATATTGCAAGATAACGCAAGAGTGAGCTATGTTACACCAAATATGTGGAATCAATTCAGTACTGTACTAATAAATAAAAAAAACCTGTAGATTAGAACAATAGCATAAACAGTAACCTGTAACAAGAATATTGGAATGTTTATATCATATGTAATATTAATTTTTGGTAATACAGCCTGAATTTCTGTAAAATTATTTACAATAAAGATTAATTTTTATTATAATACAAATATAAAAATTTATGTATTATTTATAGTATGAGGGTACTATGTACACATTCTTAGTTTAAAACTTAATAAAATGAAAAAAAAAGCAATACTGTCCTTTGTTGAAGTCATCAACATTCTAAAGAATCCCTCTTCATTGTATGGAAATTGGGAACTGTAGCCCCTGGCATTTTATTCTTTGGTATTTTCCCAGGTCGTAAATATGGATTATCAATGGCATCTTGTTGTGCTGTGGCTTCCCCGTTTTGCTCAGTACCTTCATTCTGTCCTTTTATACCTAAAATAGTAGAGTTTCATAATCTATTCTTTGAATTTAAATTTATACATATTTATTTGAATAGAAGTCAGACCTTCCTCTTTCTCTTCTTTTTCTGGTTCCTTCTTCTTTTTTACCGGGCTTGGTTCGAAGTGAAAGTCTTGCTCAGCTTCAAACACTTGATCTTGTGGAAGAAGTGCAGACAAATAGCTAGGGAATTGCGGTTTACACGATATTACTGAAAATACAAAGCATTTAATATCTCAGGTATGTATATAATGTCATTACTTCATAATTCTGAACAAATTACTTACATGGAAACATACTGTTGTCTTCTGTTAAAAATAAACTATGCGTTTCTCCAGTTTTTGCAATAAACCTAGTCAATGCCCTCTCAATATCACGTTTCTGTGTTGCCGCTTTTTCTCTTATCGCTTCATACTCTGTTACTGGTTGTTTATGCGTCTGTTCATAAATTAAACATACGATACATAATTTTCGCGATGCATCAAATATTATTGAGTTTCATGCTCCAAAAAAATTTTACCGGTGTTCTTATGTACGCGTGGGGATCGGGGAAAGACGGTAAATAACTTGGTATGTGAGATGGATGACCCTGTTTCACTCCAGCTTGTAAAATATTCAATTGCTTTGACTGAGTCTGTTGCTGAAGCGGTGGTAATACTGTCCTATTTGATCTCTTTCCATATGTCTCTATATTATCTAATTTTATACCCATATTTATCAGTGCTAGTATAACATCTGCAATGAGTGGTTCTGTCCTGCCAGAAAGTTCACAGTAATTCCTAGCAGATTCTCCAACTTCTACAATAACTGTAGACAGATTATTCTTAAGATGTTAAGTAAATAGCAAGAGTGATGGTTCTGATAATCGGTCTAATTGTGACTTTGTTAAATGTTAAATAGATAAAAATGTAATAATATGAAGAGAAGAAATACGCTATTAATTGCGATTATACAATATTAAAAGGTTAGGAGAATTAAATTGTATTGAATTTCTTACAGGACTGTAGCATCTCTGTTAACGTCTCTAAGGCTTGTTTCTCACAAGTGTCGTAGCCGCATTCTACCAGAATGCTACATACTACGTGATTTAATATTTTTCTTCGCGTATTTGTCGTTTGAATATCCATCATGTTATTCCATGCAAATACATATCATTGCATATCATATGATCAACAACTGTGCATCATGCCATCATGCGCACGAATCTTGAACTTAATCAAAATAGATCATCAAATCCATAGATCCATGTATAAATCTCTATCGACATTGGAGGACACAATAATTTAATTCATAAAGAACTTAAAATTCAATATTACACAAGAACAATTGTTACTTCCCGTATTTCTTAATTAATATTTAATTTTCTAACAAAACAATCGGTTTTAGAATATGGTGTCCCTATCTGACGATAAAAATATGATACTAATTGGCTAGTAGCTTGAGAATTTTGCCACAGATATCGCCACATATCTTGTCAAGAATGAGAATAGTATAACAGATCCATCGTGCGTCAACTTCTAACACTATTCTACAAATCATCTTGGGCTTGCTTCGTACACGAGGTTACGGTTGTTGTGTACAAATCATAATAATATTAAATTTAATTCACAAACACATGTATTCTGAATGCCTACTGCGACGTTTAAACATCCATTAATACGTCGAAAGGCTTCATGAAACACACGGGGATTTATTAAACGAATCTGACACGTTTACAGTGAAACTTTAAATTTTCCGTATAACACCTGACCAATCATATTGACGTGTCCCAGCGCTATAAGTCGGCATACGTTTCAACCATCCTGCACTCCCTCACCCCACCCCCTTGCGCTGCAAAGTTCGAGTGAACGTTCTCGATGACGGTTCGGCGAGTAGTGTTGTCTGTGGTTGCGACACCGTGGGAGAGAGCCGCGCGGCGGTGTGGCGAGTGAGCGCATACTCTCGGACAACGGCAGCGCTTGGCGAGCGAGCGAGTTGCATCGAGACGCGAGAGACGCACAGAGGTGGTGCTGCTGCCCGTATGTATCTCGTTCGGTGGGTCGCCGTCGGCCATTGTCTCTGACATGGAAGCCCATCAAAATGGCAGAGGCCGTCCAGATGTTTTTGTTCCTATATAAATCGACGTACCGTCGGAAAGAAGGCCAGTGCCGTGAGGTGGTACGGGATCAGTGCTGTGTAATCGCGGTGCCGTGGCCGATACTGTGGGCAGCGCTGATCTGCTGGGTGGTGCACGTAACCGCAGCCGCCTCCTCCTCCTCGTCCTCGCTGACGACGGATACGACCTGCGACACGGAGAGTTGCGTCAACGGTGACTGTGTCAATGGCACCTGCGTGTGCCACGAGGGTTGGCAGGGCACTACGTGCCAATTCTGCGGCGGAAAAGTTAGGTGAGTGGTGTCGGAGAGTGTGCAGCTACAACAACCAGCCGAGCATAATACGCCTCCCCCCCAGTAGTTAGATCGGTGTCCTGTGATCCGTCTAGTGTTTTCAGGACACATAGCCGGGTTATAGCACTCCGAAATTGCGCGCGTCGATACGCTTTGAATCATAGGTAACTGTACATTCGTCCCGTGTCGGTGTCTGGCAACGGTATCGACGCTTTTTGGGTCGGAACCGCGCGGGCTTTAGTCGACGTTCCATCCGTCAAACGAGAAGAATTCTCGCCTATCGTGTGTTCGCCCCCTTGTCGGAGAGAGAGACACGTAAATAAACGGGTTGGGGGGGGGGGGCGAATGCGACGTGCGTGCATGCGGCTTCCTCGGATTTAATTGCTCTACCGTGTGCACGTCTCCGCGACCTTTTCGAAAGGGAGCGGGTTTCCCCGGTCATTGTCTGGGTTCACGCCAGGATGAAATTAATCGGGACACTTTCGGTTCTAACGGTCACACCGCCGCGATGATCGGCTGAGAGTCGCTTGTCACCGGTGTGGCTTTTGGGAAATCGATTTTACATTGTCAATTGTAGTAAAAATGCGCGTTGTCAAAATCTTTTATGTATCGTTGTGACTTCATTGAGACCTGTCGCTAGGTAGAGAGTTGCATAGAGACTGATTGTAGGAAGGACGCGCGAGACTGGCATCCGTTCGTCCTTATATACACTCCTTCAACGAAAAACTCGAAAACTTGTGTCTAAAGTTACAGTCCGTGGAAACGATGTAGCGTGGCGTCGTAAAGTGTCCTTGTCACACGCATATCCAGCTAATGACTTTGCTAATAATACTAATTAAAATTCTAATGTCACCAGAAAAGCTGTGAATTCTAATTAGTATTTCTTTTTGAATAGTCATCGAATGAATCGAAACAAAAAAAGAAAACATTGAACCAGAACAGAGTGTATGTACACTTATCAACAAACTCGACTTCCACTAGGGGAAAATGTGAGGTTGGCGAAAGGCCTCCTACCATTTAGTTTTGGGAGTTACTGAAATTTATGCCAAAATAATATTCGGTTTAACATTTATTTCAGTACTTGAAACAAATTTATCAAGTGCTGGGAGGCCCTTTCCTTTCGCCACTTTTTCCCCTAGCGGAAGCAGAGTTTGCTCCTAAGTGTACATAGCCCGTCTGGCTCCGATTTAGGCCCAAGACAACATATCTTCTGTCAGCTCTTTTGTCCCAGCGTTAACACGATAGTACTCTAGGCAACCCGGTTGATTTCATTACATACGTCTTAAATTTTCTTCTGACAACAGAATCGATCGTTGATCGTAATTATCCCAGTCATATCCCCATTGGGGATGGTTCAATGGAGAAGACCAGCTTCGCAACCGATGATCTAAGAATGTTTCGCAAAACGCCCCCTCTCTAACTCCGTTTCGCTCGGTGCTTATCTGTACGGTAACATCGATCGATTCTCGCCGGCTTTAAACTTGACAGGGAAACTACGGTTTCCGCCGCCACTGTCAAGGGTGGAGGGGTGTTCTTCGCGCGGGGCGCCTAAGCCCCTGGAGAGGATCTTTGAATCCCGGCGCGCCGCTTGGGCGATGTGTATTTATTCCAGAGCTGCGTAGGCACACACACTCTCTTTCTTTCCCTCGAGGGAGAGCGAGAACAGGCAACGGCGTTGGGCAACTGCTGAAATACGATGCGAATACGAGGACCGTGTTTCGTTTCGTATTTTCATTTAAATGCGCCGTGGCTCCGGGCTGCTGCAGGTCTTCGGCCAACGTCGCGACTACGCAAACACACAAATGTCCGTCCATTCGCTTGGTGACGCGGAATTTTCAGGATGATGACCGTGGCGTCGCCATTTGACATTTTACGACGCGGGTAGATAACGGACGACAATGTAGTACACGACAGAGTCTCCTTGAATACGTCCAAAGTTTCGGCTGTAACTTCATTGTCCAACTGCTCCTATCCTGTTGAAAACGGGGGTGGTTTTATAAATTTTCTTTGGGATGGTGTAAGCTTGAATTGTTTACACATATTTCGCAACGAAAAGTTTAATATATAATATGGCGTTCACAAATATAGGCGGTATGCTCCGATTCGTCGATGAATTTTCAGTAACCATCGATTCAGGATGGTTCTTATGAATGCTCGAAAAAGTCAGCGTAATGAAAACATTGCCCGTTCGAAATGCGAAATTTGAATTTCACTACAGATTTATTCGTACATGTTTTGGTAAGTAAATTTGAACGAGAAAAGTTCGCGCTGATCTGATTCCTAGATGTGCACCTGAGGGATGAGTGACCCCAGGTGATTTAAGACACGAAATATATTTTAACCTATGGACTATTCGAAAAATGTTGTAGAAGCATTTCTTGATGTTTAATGTTTGTACTTTCAGAATAGAATAGTTGCAAAAATCGAGGTTCAGGCGGAACTCTTGGGGTCTCTTAACCTCTCCTCTATCCACTGGAAGTGTTAAAACTATAATTTCTGTTATTTTATATTTTTTCGTATAATAAGTAACGTATAAAAAACGTTTCACTAGCTTGTCGGCGAGCGTGTTGCATCGCTACTCACGATTTTATTGCGCTCATCCGCCAATGAAATTCGTCGAAGTAATCGTAGAAAAAAATCCACACTACGGTCGTTGGGCGTTCCGCCCATGGGAATATTGTACGCGATAGTTTTAACGACGATTGATCGACACGAGGAATTTTCGAATCACGAACTTAACCTGGATTCGACACGAGTGTACGGGTCGTTTGAAATTTTCATTGCGCGCTCGTGAATAATTGGCGCTGGGAATAGCCTGTCGTCGTCGTCCGGGGCCAGCGTTGACGGGATCTGTAACGTTGGTCGAAGAAAGTTGAGGGAACTCTCGTACTTCATATTTTAAGTGGTCGTTACCTTTTGCACGTGTCTAGTATGCTTTTTTTTTTTTTTTTTTAAACAAAGTTCTGCTTTGCTTGCATCATTGGGGAGTCTTTAACTCTTCAACGACGGTGGGGGTCGCTTTACTCCAAAAAGTTTGTAACACTATTTTAACTTTTATAGTACGTACCTCATAAGTTCCCGTTCGAATATACCTTGAATAATATGCGATTTTTGAGGTTGGCAGGCTCGCGCTGTGATCGGTCGGGGTTTTTCCTTAATATCTCGTTAACAAAGTCTCGGATACCATTTTTTCTAAGGAAAAACTTGTTTTAAATCAACTCACTATATATTGATATTATAAAATTATAAATAATATAAACAGACTCGAAGCCTGGGCTGACGAAGTCAATGGGCGATGGACGCGACAATAGCGGGTTCGTTAGTCGCCCCTTCTTCTCTTTTTCCCTCTCTATGTTCCAGTTTGAGGGCCGTTAATTATGAGGCTGTCGTGTACGCGTGTTCTTGCGTTTGTTCTGTTGCCGCGTTTCACACCTGTGCGGCCGGTTCGGTGGATTATTAAGCGACCTAATGAACGATCAAAGCGGGTCTTTGAGAGTTTAGCTTACATTAATTCCCATTCCGGTATGTGTGGCGTATCTGGAGCTACCGGCGGATCTCCAACGGCCATGGAATTCCTGTACCCGTCGCTGTATCTACACGGTGACCCTGAAATAAGTAACCGGTACTGCACAGCCTTTGGTAATGTGATATACCTGCTGTGTGCAAATATACCTGTTCCATACTAGGTTCAATTTAAGTTCTTTTTTTTTTTAATGTCAGTTCAACATTGAACATTATTGATACCGTTAGAAATATAAGACTGCTCTCAAATTGAGCGTAAATATAACCTATAAATCCCTCTCATTTTGTTGCAATTGATTTTCAAACGGGTCTTAACATCGCTGGGGAAACCCCTCTTGTCTGCACCGGAAAGCATCAGTCATTATCCCCTACATTATTCAGCTGAATCGTAATTTCCAGAACTTTGGGAACACCCCTCGTGGAAGCTCTTGTATAGGTGTATTCGTGCCCCTCTCCCTCCCCCACCTGTATCGATGATTGTCGAGGGGTAATTACGTTTTACCGTATCAATGGTATCAACCGTTTCTAGTCTGTCGATTAATCATCCGAGGGTGGGATTGCGTATTTGATAATCAGCAAGGCTGTTTCGACAACGCTGATACTGTTTTAGCTGGAGAACTGGGTTTGTAATTCGATACCGAGGATTTGGATAACTGAATCGATAACCGTTACAGGGACGCGTTGCTGTCCGTCCTATCGTTCACCTTATCATAGGATTAATTACGGTGATTATAGGAGGGGGGAGGGATAATCACTCTGCCGAGGCAATTGGATCTGTTTAAGCCGGGATTAATGAGCATTCACCAAGAGCTTTGTGCCACCGACGCCTGCCGAATTTATGATCGTTGCCAGCAAACGTTTCCAACGATCTGATCGTTGTTCACTTTTATCACCAGATTTCATTTCTTACTCCACGTTTCGATATATTTATACGATTTAGCAAGGGCTGTGTATCGCGGCCGGGTATCGTTCTCATTAGCACGAATGCAATACTCTTTCAATAACGAAGGCGTCGGATGAGTCACGGGTGGAATCGTGGTTCGACGACCGCCGTCCCGACTTCGCCTCTTTATACTAAGCCGCGATACGACAGAGGAAACGAAGGACTCTCGGTCGTCCTGGCTATTAAAAGAAACGCAGTGTAAATTGGAGCAGGGAACGTCGTCGGGGGTCCCCAGTCGCAGCGACAATAGGGAAAATTTAAAATCCCCAGCCCCCACGGAGACGCATGAAACAATTAAAATGGACATTCTGTGGATTGACGCGACGCTTGCCAATTGGCCGAACGCACAGTGGTCCTTTTTCCTCGAAAAGCTGGACAAAATAAATTTGTTCAAGTAACTGGCAGTTTTTTGCTAGTATGGCACATTTAATTTACGCATATCAGATCTACACATTACCCAAAAGCATGGGAGTACCGTTTTTTATGAAAATTCCATGAAGGTATGAATTTTGGCCACCTTTCCTGAAGAAGGACC